CCCCAAAACCCCAAAACCCCAAAACCCCGTTGTACTGCATAATTCTAAATTATAAGAATAAAAGATAGAAAAATTAAATCATTTATCCAAAAACAAAAAAAAATCCAAATTTGTTCAAATTTTTCATAGCATTAGGGCATCTTTTCTTAATTGATCGAGGATTGTATATGGATAGTAAATTTTCCTTTTAAGTCTTTGATCATTCTTGTATGTTTCATACTCACTCTCTATTTCATGCTTGATTTTATTCAGTTATGACTGGAATACTGTGTGACTTCTTTCACTCATACAGTTCTCAAGTTTATTTACTAAATACCTCTGATAGTCATTTACTTCTTTTTTCATTTTATCCTTTTAACCATTCATTTAGTTTTTAAGAGTAATTCTGTAGCTATAAGCCTACATGTTCATTTATTTCTGTTGAAGTGGGTGTATGATTCCAGCAGACTTCTGAGGAGTCATTGTCTGAGACTATGAAACTCTCTGTGCTACATTGATATTAGGATTCCTAAAATTAAAAAAGTTATTTTCTTTTGGATAAATCTCCATTCCAGACCCATTCCCACCTCTGGCTGTTTACTAGATTTTATTGGCTGATCCTCCCTCAAATTTATCAATCTAAATAGTTGGCTAAGACTAGTTTCCTATAAATTATTAATTGATTGATATTACTTTTCAAGCCATTTACTTTATATGAAGAAGCAGGTGTAGAGTATCTATTCGGTTCAGAACTATCTTAATTACTCTCTCTAACAAGTTCCTTAATGAGTTGAAATTTCAAAGTCTACTCAAGTGCAGCAGTCATTCCTTCTTCTGTATTAACATTGAATTTATTCAAGAGCTCTGAGAGCTTTAAACGTTTCTTGATTTGTTTTATCTTCTTTGGACTCTTTTACTTTAATTTCTTAGCGCTCATTATAATAGATCGTACTTTTAGATCTTGCTATATTCTTCTATCTTCCATCTCTTTGACTTTTTTCTAAGAAATTTTATAGTAAGAGCATTATTTACAGTTTTCTCTTCAGTCATTCGCTTTTAGTTTCTTCCGTCTTGTTCTTGTATTATTTTACGCTATTCTCTCATTCTTTTATAAATCACTCTATTCCATCTATAATGTAATATAAAAAACAAAATCAAATAACACTTACATCTTGAAATCTATTTGAAGTGGCTGATCAGCACTGGGTACTAGCTTGCCACTTAATAAATCATTTACTTTCTGCATCTCTCTTTAAAGTTCATCTTCTCTCTACTGCCAAAATCTCAGTTATGCTGCTGAAGGCCTTTGTGAAACATAACTCATTGGCTCATCATTTGATTGACTTGCTTACATATCATTTGAGGTCTAAATAATCTTTAGATTGCAAATCAAAATACTTAATAGTTGTTAGTATTTGATGATAAAATTCTTCTGGTTGGTGATAAGTTCTCCATTACTAGTAAAAATGTGGTCAGTTAAAATATAAACTTTAGAGTATTTATATTTATGATGCACCCTTTTTGTTAAAATAATTAATAAATCAAATGGGAAATTGTAATTTAAAAATTCAAATTATCAATAAATTAAAACATAATGAGTGAGTTCGACAGATTTAGAGGATCATCTAAAGCATTTATAGTTTTCATGCTCTTCATATTCTTACTATATGCTGCTATTATTATGATTAGAATGATTAAAGTTAAAGGAGATAAAAACGTAAGTAGATAAAAGAACCAATTTATTTACTCAAAAGAAAATTATTTTTGGGGCATTATATTTAACTTATATATAGAAAATACCAGTGATGCCAGCATTCTTTGAGGCCTATAAGAGAGTTTTTGAAGTCGATATGATGTATTCATTTTTGGTATACTTTATGGCTATTTCCCTTGGGACAATGTATGAGTTTCTTTGCATTTTTGGAATTGTTTTGATTGGTATCTCTGTTTTACTGACAATCGCACATTTAAAGGATCACAGAAAGCTAAAGTTGATAGCTAAAATTGCTAATTTCAGCTTAACAGTCATTGGATTTCTCAATATTTTTATCAATGACATGTATTTCTCAGATTTCGCCATTAGCAAATGACTTATTCAAATATTAAAAGGTAGAATAACGAGAAACATATAATAATGAATGATTTTGTATGAGATTTATTTTTCTAATTATTTTAGTAAAGAGTAATTTTGATTGAACGGGGTTTTGGGGTTTTGGGGTTTTGGG